ATTATAGATGTCTGGCTCTTTATAGGCTCTGGTTAAATGAATTTTATGACCACTAACCTGAATTTTAAAACCAATTCCGGTGACTCTCTCTTAAAAATACTAAATCACTTCACCTTTAAGTGGCCGGAGATTAATTGTCCCCACCCCTCCATGAATCACAAGGTCCTTGGTAAGTAGAGGCCTGCGCCTCTGAGGCTGTGATACTCCTTGGCATTGTATCCTCAGTGCACTAAAAGACACTTTGAAATCGTTTACTGCAGGAATGGGCCTGTGTGCTAGTTTTCATTCAATTCATCAGCACATGTTTATTCCAGCGACTAACAAGCTTTCTGTTTCCATCAGCAAGAAAAAGATGTTTAATGAGGGAGGCTGTCTCTGCATTTGTTACATTTCACGCATGAACTTGCACTCCCGAAGGACATCTTTTCATGGCCCAAACAGCAATGGTGATCACTAGGTGGAATAATGTATGGCAGCTGTTTCACGGCCGTCCACACGGGCCCCAGGGCTTTTGCTTGGTTTAACTCACCCTGACAATAAGTGGCAAAAGGTTTTCTTCTCTTCTGGAAGATGCACGACCATTCCTAAATCATCAGCAACAGCTGGGGGGGGGGGCTTCCCCTCCCAGGTGTGGTCATCACGGCAACCTGTTGGTGTGTGTGGTGGAAAGCAATGCCACACGGCACAGACCACTGGGGAAGAAAGGAGTAGGGGCCGCCAGCAGGAGATTAGGTGGGAGGAGCCACTTGGTTCAGACTCAAGGCTAAAGAACTTGGATCTGTCATTGGAGACAACCAACTTCTAAAGTTTCCTAAGGCAGAAAATGCCAAGGTGGCACTAACATAAGCATGCCCTTGGGATCAACTGGGCCCTTGTGGCCCTGGTTTCCAAGGTCTCAACAAACCATAAGGTTCCCTTCTCCGAGAGTTCTGTAAACGGCTGATGCTTAGATGCCCATTGCCTGGCTCCTCCACCCACGCATGTGGTCCCGGTTCCCTTTCTGGGTCACATAGGGAGCAAAACTCAGTTCCACACTGTAGGCTGTTCTATGTAGATTATTTAGGAGGGGAGGAGCAGGCTCACATGGCACAGTGACTCACCTTCTGCCCTGCAATGACTCCATGACTCTCAACCTCCCTTTTTTACTTTCTGGCTCCTCAACAACAGTGCACAGGTCTCTGTCCCTGTGTCCCTGACCCGAGGCATTTTCACAAGAGAAGTCCCTTGGTTATTACCCTAAAGGGAAATGTTCATAAGGCTGCTGAGTGAGGAAAGAAAAGCCTTCATGTTATCCATCTTGTTCTGAGCAACCCTTCCCTACACTGCCTAATAATTACAGCTTGCTAGTATTGAGAATCACTAAATAGATTCCTGTGCTAAATAGAATTCAGAGCCACTCATAACACATGGAGAATCTAAGTGAATGGGCAAGGCATTCATCTGGAAAGTGATGGCTCTGGGATTTGAACCCAGACCTCTGCAAGCAGGAACCCCAATGCATTTCCCCACCTTCTGCTTTGCTACATATTCAGGTCAAAACAGCAGTGCCCCACTCAGCTGCAACCCCAGCATTTGGACACCAGAACCATGTTGTGCTAAAGCCTAGAGGACATTTCTGGCTGATGAGAGTCCTTTATGAACTCCAAAGGGCCACTGGGAACAGAACACTGACTCCTACCCAGCCCCACTTCTTTCTCTCATTTCCCGTGGCTAGGTTTTGTGTGGTGTCACAGGCAATGGGGAAACCTAACAGTCCTTGGCAACAAAAACACCACATCCGCCCACACATCACCTGGCTGCATGTCACCCACACTGCTGCCAATGTGGTTTCACAAATTAGGGCACTCAAGTGAGAGGGTGACTCTGATTTAGGACTAGAAGGACCCAGCAGCCTTCCCCAGCCCTTTGGGCATTATGGGAGAATGACCTGGAAAGTCAAATGCGGAGAAATGTCCCAAAATATAGGAGTCTTGTTTGAAACATAGGAGAACCTATTAGCTTGAGAAATTGGTCTGGAAATCTTATTAAAAGAGACAAATCATTCCACACTCTCTCCAGACTGAAAATATTGGGGTAATAGACTTTCCCTGATGCCTCAGATTTCTTGCACCTCATGTCAGGATCACAGCCAACCCCTGGCAAGGCTAAATCCAATACCGGTGATAAAGGCAATTTTTTAAAAATGGGCAGTTCTGATTAATTCTGATTTCTCTGGCCAGCCATGGTCTTATCTGTACCAGTCCTTCATTACTGTGAAGGTTGCAAGCCGGAAGAGCCAATGGCAAAGAGAAATGAAGTTCAAATTGTGGATTTGTCATCATTGCACAGCTCAGCAGGAGGGGACTGCCCAGCCATGGAGGACCCTGTGATCAGCCCCACTCCCTTGCACACCCACACTCATATCTCCCTGCTCAGTATGCTCCATTAACCCCTGATGGAGAGGATGGGAAAGCAAGGCACCATTGCATTATGAAACTTAACCTTGCATGTCTTTGCTATTTAAGAGGGGTGATAAGACGGAATCTTCAAATTTATATACAGACAGTCCTTGACTTATGATGGTTTGACTTAAACAATTTTTCAACTTTATGATGGGACAAAAGTGATGTGCATTCAGCTGAAATCATTCTTCAAATTTCGAAATTTCGAATTTTGCCTGTTTCCCAGGCTTACCAATACTCTGCCTGATGCTAGCTTATGCATTCATGACAGGAAACAACCAAGAGGCCACTGGTTGCTAAGCTAGGGCATTCAGCAGGGCAGCTGGATTAAATGCATTATATTTCCTATGTACAACGAGTTTATGGGATGTCAGGGAGGACCTACATATTAGCTGTGGATGGTAGTGGCGAGCACTGAGGGACTTAGTAGCAATATGAATCACTGGAATTCAGCGACTCCATATTCCATGCCTGCCACCCTGCTAAGGGCTTTATGTACATGAATCATCTCCTTTATTCTCAAACAATTCTATAGAACACACTTTTCTATAAAGGGCCAAATATGAAATATCATAGGTTCTGTAGACTGGGTGGTCCCTGTCTCCCCCAAAGCAATCATGGCAATGTATATAAATGATGAAGTGGGGCTGGGTTTCAGTAAAACTGTATTTACAAAAGCAGGTGCTGGCTAGAATTGGCCTTTGGGCCATCTATGCCTCCCGCTGCTATAAACTGGAGGATGTTGTCGCTACACTGGAATTTTGGGCTCCACACTAAGGAAGGTAGGAGATGTGATTTTCTCCTCCCAGCCTCCCTCTTTCCCTGCTCTGCCTTTGAACTCCTAGTTCTAAGAGAAAGAGAAAGTAAAAGACGTGTTTGCATGACTTCCAACAGTGAATTGGCAGTTTTCATCAAGGAAGGGGAGAACAATTTTTCCCATCCATGAAGACCCTGCCTCTGTGAGGGCTCCAAGAGGAAGCCACCACCTTCCAGTCCCCACCTCTGTCAGTCTGACTCCTTGTCTGCAAGCTTAGTAGAGACCCAGGGCAGACCCCACCAATGAGACACTCATCTGAAGCTGCTCTCGGGAGCCTCGGGGATTCTCAGCTATGTCTTCTGGCAAACTGTAGAGAGGGAGGGTAGTCCCGACACAAGGCCTCTGTCCATGTCACAGCGGTCCCTAGCAAGTCTGCAACCCCAAAGTTAACTCTCCTCTGTTGTCATCACTGTAAGCTCAGTAGCAGATGATTACCAGCTGTGAAGACCCTGTGATCGGCCCCACTGCCACAGACATGCTTGCTCGGAATGCTTGATTAACCTCTAATGGCAACACTGCAACCTGGAGAGGCTGGGACCTGGGCAGGCTCCATCTCCATGTCCCCTGGGGACCTGGAATGTGAGAGAATGTGCCTTGCCTCTCCCTGCAGTGCCACACCCTTGAAGAGATTCATAAACTCAAGGAACAATTTATTTGAGAATTGGGTCTGTCTCTGCACTATTGCTATTTTGGAGCCAGGTTACTCTGGGGCGGGGGCGGGGGGGGGCTTTCCTATGGTTTCTACTCAGCGGTTGCCTATATCAACTCCCAAAAGTGACAACCAAAAATGTCCCCAAACCTTGGCAGCCGTCCCCTTGGAGATGGTGAGTTACTATATGATCTAATTGGAAGACAGAAAAAATAGTTATGGCCAAAATAAAGTTAGAACATTGTAAAGTCATCCAAATATTAGCATTCGTTTGAGTGATCATATTTTGGTTACTCATGCTGTTGTCTTACCTAGTATATTATTTTTATATTGGCTCTTGGTTTTAAAGCTCATGTTGTTCCTGGTACATTTTTATTGCAATCACTGATTCTATTAAATGTTTAATGAACATACTATATGTTTAATGGAATAATGGTAAAATGTCTCTAATCAATTCAGTTTAATTTAGACATGAACTCTGGATTGTTAAAATATATTTCTTCTTTACAGAATTTTCCTATGTTTATCTACATGGATGTCTCCATCTCAAGTCTCATATTAATAATGGAGACCATGAGGGCCGGCACCATGGCTTACTTGGTTAATCCTCCGCCTGCGGCACCAGCATCCCATATGGGCGCTGGGTTCTAGTCCTGGTTGCTCCCTCTTCCAGTCCAGTTCTCTGCTGTGGCCTGGAGGGCAGTGGAGGATGGCCCAAGTGTTGGGCTCTGC